GCAGCTTCACGCGATTCGTGCGACACAGCTGCGACCCAAATACGGAGCGCAAGGAGATGCGATACGGAGATGCGAGGATCAGCGTCCTGCTCTCGAAGCGAGCAATCCGAGAGGGAGAGGAAGTCACCGAAGATCTGGGCAACAAGTGGCTGATGGCTGTTGGGAGCTGCGGGTGCGGAAGCGACAAGTGTCACATGAAGCCTGCTGGCACGGTCAATGAGGTTATGCGCATCCCTCCGGACGGGATCATCAATCTAATTGACGACGATGACGAGATGGACGTCGACGAGGAAGTCGGAGGCGTTGCTCGGGGTGAGAAAACGCCTGCTCGGACTCCAAAAGAAATCATCAATCTAACCGACGCCGACGACGCCGATTACGATGACAATGACAATAACGAGATGGATGTCGAAGAGGGGTCCGAAGGCGCTGCGTGGGATGAGAATGCTCGACGCTCGATATCGAGTGCGGATACGATAAGTGCCACAACCGAGGCCGGTTCCCTGATCCCCGATGAGGCTGCCGTGTGAAATGGACAGTCCCTGGGAGGTGGTATTAGCGTGATGATGCCAGCAAATGTACTGTATTCGGAAAATTGGCGATGCATGGGCGGCCTAATCTTATCAAAGACCCTGAGCATGCTACGGAGTACCGGTATGGTCTCGCTAAGCGATGCTACAGATCTATGCAGTTGACTTGGATACAATCTGCTTTGGTCACCGTTTCCTCCGGATTACGAGAGCGAATTTGTAAAAGAATTTGAATCGCAACACCATGATGAGCGAGGTTGTGTCTCGCCATCCTTTGTTGAACATGACACGGTTAGCTAATGGTTGCCCCAACGGCGAACCTGTTCATGAAGAGATCAACCAACTGAGCGGTTTCACCCGTCGCCAGTCCCTTCCCCTCTTTCCAACTTGAAGTGATGTAACGACAGTGAATTTTCATCGCAAGGCTGTCAGCTTCGCAGCGTCGATCCTGAAGGATTATGCGACCGGCTTGCCAGGAAAGGACTCTCAACTCACACCTCCCACTCCAATACAGGAAAATCTTGAGCATAAAGGCGGCACGGAATTCCGAGGCTCACAAGGCTGCGACTGAAATAGATTTCCACAGCGCTCATTGTGCTGTTCCCCGCCTTCCCAATGCTCGGGCCCCCAGTCTTCGAATCAGAGGCCGGACAATTCTTAAAATAACTCAGACCACCTTTCCCCAGAACGGAATCTTCCCACGACTTTATTCCTCCTTACCGCTTGGGTAAAGGTACCAAGCCTCGTTTTCGTACATCAAACCCCACTCGTAGCATAATATGGCTGCGCGCTTGTGCGGCAGGTGGAGCTATGCTGGAATGGTTGGATGCTCCCGCCCTCTATCATTAGCAGCTTTCTCCACTTACACCGAATCCTTCGCGATTAGCGACTGCGCACCGACAAATCATTATCAGCGAAACAGGGAAACAGATCGCGAGGGCAAACCTCGATTGAAGTAAATATAGTCATTAGGAATCGTTCCTTGTTCAAACGTGCTCTGGTTTCTCGGAAAGTCGAGCCCATCCTGACGAGTCACTTGCACATGCCAAGCTGTCTGGTATGAATCTTTGTACGAGGTGCCAATCCTGTCCGATCCACACAAGGAAATTTTCGTGCCGAGACAAGTAGATCCCTCAACAATCATCTTGAATATTTCCAGGGTTTGCTCGACGACTGACCCCACTATGCGTGCAAGGAAGAGTTAGCGGCGAAACTGCAAGTCCACTCGTTCGGCGGCGGCATTGGCGATGTGTTGGGGATGTTGCTGCTTTCCCGGAACTCGACTACCTTTCGCTTCCCTTGGTACTCCCTCACCACGGCAAAAGCCGCATCGGTGAAGTAAAGGTCACGCTTGAGCAGTGTGTGGAACCCACCCTCCCATCCAATCAGATAGACAAAGCCACCCCTGCCTCCACTTGGATCCGGTACTGCGAGAGCGTTGGTGACGCCATGTTTGAAAGAGTCTCCAAAGCTTTGTCCCAGGGTGACGTTGAAATTATGGTAGAGTGCAAGCCAGCCATCGTAGCTGTAGTGTGTATCGTTGAACGTGGCCTTGAGATCCGGAGAGAACGTGTCTGCAAACGCCTTATCCCATGCACCTGCAGAATTAGCTATGTTTGGTCCCACTGCATGGCCGTTCCGCTTACTCACCGTTCGCGGGGTACGGGAAGAATCCTTTGCCTGGTTAGTTGTTGTTGAAGGAGCATCAATATGATCGACGTACCATTGACCTGGCATTCCATCCAACTAGACAGTTGGATGGACGCATTCACGGACGGCGAATCGGCCAGTGCGCACGGATCAGTCGAGGTTTGACGTGAAAGGATCTCCAACGCCGCAACGCTGGACCCAAGGCCGACTAAGGCAGCTTGGAGGCACGTCAGTTACAGATCCAACTACCGTTTCTATTCGTGGGACTGCCGGGTCAAGGCTGATGCGGGTGAGGCGCACTCACCAACGGATGTAGCCAGCCGCACCGTCTGCTTCAGCATGGTGGAGGAAGGACTTCGATTGGTGAAACTCCCGGTCAAGGTGGGGAATGGAGGGGAAAGCGAGCGAAAAGGCCAGAGGCGTTTATATATGGAGATCTGATTCAGAGGTACAAGATTAAAGGCTGGAATGGTGAAGTAGAAGCACGAGTGAAGTAGGGATGTTGTGCGGTGGCTGATGCAGGGGTTACTTTTTGGGCGCCTCCTCGACGTGAACTTGCGCGTTTCCTGGCCTGTCAGTGCGACCAATTTACTTGTTATGGCTAGTGCGATTAACGCGACAGCAATGTCTGGCTGCAGAAGGATGGCAGAGGTCCTGTTGGACACAATCTAAGTGGACGAGGAGTCGGAGTCGGACGGATTGCCCGATGCCCGCCCCCAAACGGCAAATGGTGATAGGGCCCGCTGGGGGCCCGGCGATCCTCACTGATTCGACTTAGCGCCCGCCGGGATGTGCTTCGACTAAGGCGGTGGCATCCAAGCTTTGACTCTCGGGCATATCTAGACGCCGGAATGCGGCTCTTGAGGCGGCCTGTCAGTATGTATAACTTGAACACCTCAGCTGCACGTTTGTATGATGTAGGCTGTGAGGCGTTCAGCCACAAGCGTGCCGATTAAGCCTAATCCGGGCGACTTGGAAGGGTGTTTGTCTTACATTTAGGTGTCCTATCTAGAGACCCAGTACATAAGTCTCCACGTCCTGGTACCTCTCATCTTATCCAGACCTACCCATTCTCTCACACTGTCTCGGTCGTTCCCAATGTTCCATTCACCGATGCTGCAGCATTACCGCATCAAGCAAAGACAATACTTGCACTGGAGGTCGGAGCAGCAAGGAAAACAGGACGAAGCCAACTTCATTCCCCCGCATTTGAGGCAGATTCGAAAGGACTGGTTCGGGAAACGACTCGAGAATTGCGAGAAATTCAAAGCCCAGGAAGATTTACAGCGTCTTGCGTTGTCGACCTGTGCCTGCTCCAGCGGCGCAACATGCGAGCACAACGATTCCGAAGGAAATGCCAACAAAGTCTGGAAATGGCTAGATGCAACTGCAGAGAATGAAGAGAGAGGGCGGTCAAGGCAAAAGGAGAAAAGATAGAAGAGGTGTGGTTCGAGCGAGACTGGTAAGGATAATTACCCGATTAGGAAGCAAAGCGCCTGACGAGGCAGATACATAGACGCCGGCGCTGAGCCACGGGAGGCTGCCAAGGACGTCAGACAACACCGATTTCTTGATGGAGTCAAGATGCAAGGCAGATTGTGCTGTACGAAGACTGGAAACCGCCGAGGCTGTTATCGGGTTTCCGGAATCGTTCGAGTCCGGAGGAAGAGGAAGATGCGACTTGAAGCGGATCCGAAGCAGCTTTACAGCGTTACTAGCGTCTGTGCAGGGACGGTTGAGGAATCCTGACGAGAGGATGGAATCGTGCGAGAGGGTGGTGGGATAAGGCAAGGCAGAAGAACATGCGACCTGTGCTCCTTGATAACGCGTCGGCCGAAGCATCTTGTTCATTACGTATCCATTGTAGCCTGTCCAGCTTTCAGCCTCTGTACGGCCGAGCGCTTGTCACTGTGCTTCCAGGCCAGGCAGATCGCGATCCCTCGAGGAATTAGCAGGCGGACCAAGTACCTCAGTAGGTACACCCGCACAGTTAGCTGTTCTCGTAACCAAGTGTTAATCTTTTCAGTATGTGCCCCCATGGTGTATCATGATTTCGTAAGGGTTTCTTCAGCTATCCTAGTGCCAGGGCGATGTGGGGAGCATAAGCATCGTGGCGTAAGCATGGACAATGGGAGGCAAATGACAGTCTCGTACGAGATGCCGATACGAGAAAGCATTGATGGGGTTGAGTGAGCAGGTCTGCCGCCCGGTCAGATACAGGAGTTGAGACAGGTGGGCCGCCGCCGGGGGTCCATGTGCCAGCCAAGGCAAACTAAACCGGATGGGAACGTGGCGCCCTCCATCTCCCGAGGTCAACTCACTCGCCCCTCCTCATCAACGCATCTTCAAACCGTTACTTTGGTGAAGCTTGAACACTTCCTGGGCTTGATAAAAAAATACAGCTGGTGGACAAAATTGTTGTGATGAATGCGTGTCTTGCATCCGGTGCGCTCGCACCTCCGGCTGCCCGCCGAAACGCAATTCCATTCCTTCACGATTGTACGCATGAGATATGTGAAAGTGTAAAGAATTGAATCATCTGGTGTGTAATCTTGTCGTAGTTCATCATGAACCGTTCCACTGACAGCGAAGAAAGCTGGTCATGTAGCTTCTTCGCACGTCTTCTGCCGGCATGGCGTAAGAACAATTGCCCCATGAAAACATCTCATCACTCAGGCCCTGAATGAGAAGTCTCAACCAGGATATGACAAAAGAGCCAAAAAAGAAATAGAAAAATTGCGCAAGGGAAAAGACAACAAGTCAAAAAAAAGAGCTTACTGAACATAAAGCAAAAAGTGAAAGCTGCTCGCTTTCTGTAGAAGCCCGACGCGAGACTCGAACTCGCAGCCTTACGATTAAGAGTCGTACGCTCTAACCAATTGAGCTAGCCAGGCATTTTTGTAATAATTGAGAGTTTCACGGCGCTGAAAATATATATTGTAATAGAATATGTATTGTGAAGGCCGAAGCTACCCGGAAGAATTTTTGGTGAGTCAAAAAATCCCGTGACTCCGCAAACGAGCAAGGACCACCCACAAACCCACAGAAAAATTTGGTGGGCTTTTCGGTTCCAGTGTTTGCTATTTTTGAGGACACTTGGTGCGTGGACTTGCTGTCTTGGGTCGCATCGTAATGATGCTTTCCCAAATCCAAATCCACGCAAAGTCTTCATGCGACGCGACTTGAGATTTATATATCTAGAACCGCATTATACACAACGCCTCACAATTCAATACTGGGAGATGTCAATGAATTTCAATTACCGGGTACGACAAGAACAACATTCTCAGATTATTGCACTCTAGATGTGCTGAACACCACCCTCAAGAGAGGCGACCACGCCTATCGTATAATCTTTCATCCTTGAGCTCTGCACGCACAAGAATTATATCCCTTGCACCGCAAATTGAATGGCACTTGCACTAATGCATTCTTTACGATTTGAGAGCGCGCGCGCAAAATCCTACATACATTGGCTCACAAGCTCTCCACAAGCCCAAGATCAACCTTCGGCACCGCCCACCGCTTGCCCCCAACCTGCCCAAACGTCCCATTCACAGTCGAATTTCCAAACGGCCCTAGACTAGGTGGCACATCTTGCGGCCTCGTACCCCAACTGCTCTCGCTCGCACCCAGCGTGAGCTCCAGCGTCCCTCCATTCAAGAAAAAGCTATGCTGCAGCCAGTTCTTTGTGTACGTTTCGCCATTCAGCTTCGCCGACTGAATGTACACATTCTTGCCCGAAGGATCGAAGTTGATGTTGCGGATCGTTGCCGTCTTGCCCGTCTGCTGGTTGAGAATGGACACGGATTCGAAAAAGGGCGGCGTGATGAAGTAGACGTCCTGTCCAGCGTTGGGGAAGATTCCCATCATGGTCAGCGCCTCGAACGAGCCCATGGCTCCGCTGTCGTCGTTGCCAGGGATGCCGTTGATGGTGTCGTTGAATTGCGAGGGAATGTAGAAATGTGCGCGCTCGGCCGAGAGCGCCGGACGACCTGCGTAGTGGTATAGGTACACCATCAAGAAGCCTTGCTCATCGCCGATGTAGAGGAGGCCGCTTTCGTGGAAATAGTCGAGGCGCTTCACGAAGCTGTCTGCGCCGCCGAGGGTGCGGATCAATGTCGAATGGTCTCCGGGGACGTAGAATGTGTAAAGCCAGCATGAGCCCTCGTAGGTCTCGTGTCCTCCGGGATTGAGGTAACAGCCGGTGAATTCTAGTAGCGGGCTGCAGTAAATTGGGTCCTGGAACCCCCATGTGCCGTTCATGAACTTTGGTTGCAGGAAGCCTGTGAAGCCTGTATCCGTCCCATTAATCGTGCTATTTTGATCCGCTTTGTACATGTTGATCCAATTCCCAGACCGGCCGAGGTATTTGTGATAATCATCCATGTGGCCAAACTCGCGAGCTAACAGGGCGATGACAAAATCATTGTAGGCGTACTCAACGGTGCGGGATATCGAGCGAGTTTCCGTACCGACACCCTGTACATCGTAATTCTCTGTTGGGATATAGCCTAGGCTCTTCCAGGAATCGAGCCCACCACGGCCTGTCCCGCAGTCAGCAAAAAAGTGCGGGTAACTTGGACATGATCATACCCTCAATGTCCCAGTTGAGAGGTTCATCCTCTGCATCAGATATCAGAGCCTCATAAGCGAGCTTCCAGTCAACCCCTGCACTAATGTTCTTGAAGTATGCGTCCGCAATCACAACGTCGGCATTAGATCCACCTTGTGTGAAGCCTGCAGCTCCGGTCAGCTTGTGTACTTGTCTCAGCCCAACAGCCATTTCAAACCTTTGCAAAAGCTCATTCGACAATCTGGCAGCTTTCCTTCATGTCGATAAATGTCCAGAAGCGACCGCACCATAAGGGTCTGCGAGTGCGGATCAAGAAGCGTAATGAGCGGATGTATACTTCTAAAGGAATCCCAGATGCAGTAAAATGAGTCATAGTAAGGTTCGCCGCTGTTCCAGAAAGGATTCTCGCCAGTGTAGTCCTGTGGGCTGATCATACTCCGATACACACCACTCCAAAAGGCCTTGAGCAAGACTTCGCTGACGCCGCCATCTTCGATCTTGATGACATCGAGCTTTTCCTTCCACACTTTCTCTGCTGCTGCTAATGTGCCATCGAAATCGAAATCTGGAATCTCTTTCTCGGCGTTGCGACAAGCCTGGTCCTCGCTGACGAAGCTCATGCCGACTCTGGCAATGATTTCGTTGTTCTTAGAAGGTGCATTGAACTGCACCCATCCACCTGCAGGTCTGTCGCTATGCTCGTTCTTCGCCCACGACTTGACGCGAAGTTGTTTCATGGTGCCCGCGCGCGAATTCGCGAATATCCCGGCATTCCTGACATCGGCACCGCTGAAGTCGGCGCAAAAGTACGTCTGGTATGTGCCGACCCCGAAACTTGGTAGGAACGTTCCTCCCCCTTGCATCCGACCTGATGGGCTATGTACTGTAATGTTGCCATCGCTCCTCGTCTGGGGTAGGTCTGAGAGCTCCACGAGAATCAATGGATTCAGTGTAGTGTTGGGCGTGGACGGTGTCTCGGGAAACTTGAAGCGGTACAGTGCAGTGTGGTTCGTGACCGTCATCTCAGTATGAATGTTGGATGCGATGCTAATTGCAAAATACCCTGGCCGTGCGCTGACAGAGCCATTGATGCGATCTGTCTGTCGATCCCAATATGTATAGTTGCACGCGTTGATATCGTCGTTCGGGCATCCAGCGAAAGGAAAGAGTGGGAAATTTCCGAGGGACGGCGACTAGGAAGATCAATTCCACGTGTCTTTACATATTGTAAAAGCGTAGACCTACACCTCCTGTTCCTGAATCGTGCATGTGCGAGAAGCCAATAATGGTGCTGTTGTCTGAAGCGAATCCACCTTGGTTCTCTCCATTGACGTCTGCGCCCGCTTTTGCCATGCCTTTGCAATATAAGTTTCACTCTTTTTTCAGAAATTGAATCGCTTACCAAAGGGCAACGTCGCACCCGGGAAGACATGACCTGAATTCGTCAATGAAATCCAGGAACGTGCCATTCCCCAACAAACCTCCATTCGTAGTCCCGATCAGAGGGTCAACATAGTCATACCCAGACTTGGCCTGCGCATTCGCAATGGCAAGCACAATTGCCCACGTCGCCCATTGAGCTGTCCCTGCCCAAAGCCCTCTCATCGTGCAATCGAGGACGCTCAGGAAAAAAGCGAAGTAAAAGCTTCGACCCCAACAGAAGGTACCTGGGGCCCCGCATATTTATTCAACGTATTCCGTCCCTCCCTGGCAGGTGACAAGCGTGTGCCATTCGCCAATGCAACCACGGTGGGCGTGCGCTAGCGAAAACCGGTATTGCTATGCCCCAGAACGGAAGTCGCCTGGGAGATGGAGCTCGTGTGGACGAGGAGCAAGGTCCGTAGTGATGCAACAGTGCGTTGGATCCCCCGGGAGTGGCTGCGGGGTACATTGGCGGGCCCGGGAGTAGTGCGGGATCCTATGAGGCATCTCGGGGCTAATATGTCCGCCTTGGAGTAATTAAGCCGGGGCTGGACGCACTCCACCAATGCATGAATTTGTCGCTATGCGTGACCGTTGTGAGCATGAAGGGGCTTGGCTGCTGTTTGGAGCATATGAATCGTTATTCGCTTGACTTGGGCTCGATCTCGCGTGCTTCGCCGGCATCTTTGTGAATATAGGCGGCGCACTAGGGTGCTGCACCCCTGTCCGAAAGCCGATAGAATCCCCCTGAAACAAGTCATGAAGTTTGTATTAGCTTCTGTTGGAACAGAACGGCCGAATGGGGAACAAGACCTGAACTATGTTACTGCGTTGACTTTTGCTGAAATCATCGATGTAATTGAAATCTAGACTGAGTCATAGAAAGCAACAAGCCTCCAAAACACCTCACCTCGGTACCCTTTTGAAGACATGTCTTTCCCAACCATCAATAGAGTCAACCACAACCTCCCGTTCCAATCTGTAGCCTCCAAACTTGGGTAGGATCACAGCCCAAACTAGCCAGTAAACACCTCCAGCCCCAATGATGCCGAAGCCAACGACACAGTGCAACCAGTAGGGCAGAGTCTCATACACACTTTGTCCATCGCTAGGTGGAACGAACGGAGCAACGACAAGGTAGATATTGCTGAGTAGAAAGAAGATCGCGACGGGCAATGAGGCTTTGATCGGCGAACTCCAGTTCCATTGGCGGCGATGGAGGTAGAGATGGATTAGAGCACCCGCGACGAAGACGTTTACAATGGCGAGTGGATACGAGATGACGCTGGTGGAGGTTAAATCTGCAGTAATAATGGATCTAGGCTGAACTTACTTCAAAATGAAGTTGTAGGCATCACCGGGTGGAGGCGCCAGCATGATTATGACGGACACAAGCCAGTGTTCAAAAAGACCGGCAAGTGGCGCGTTGAAGGGCCTGTTGCTTGCCCACAGCCTGGAGAATGGTAGAATCCCTTCTCGTCCCAACTCTTGAACGATACGCCCTTGAGAAAATATCACGCTGAGGACGTTGCCGAATGCAGACAGGGCCACAAACACGGATAGTGCGCGTTCCGCTTTCGGACCAAATACGTTGCGGAAGAGCGACGCAGCAACTAGCCGTTTCGAAGCAATAATCTCTTCCTTCGGGACGGCTGCGAAATATGCGATGTTAGTAAGCATGTAGAGGATCGCGACGGAACCAAGTGCCAGCGGAGCAGCGCGTTTCAAGGTCCGAACCGGGTTCTTCGTCTCGCTGAGAGCGTAGTTGGCATTGCTGTAGCCAATATAACTCCATATGACGTTGTATAAGGCTGTGACCACTCCATAAGCACTGCCAGTAGTGCCCTCGAAGGCATGATCAAAGTTGTTGGGCTTTTCGATCTTCAAAGCACCACC